GGAGAGAACAAAAACAAGTGGAGGGGAAAGCAGGAATCAAAGCGATCCTGCAGCACTTTGATCCCTTTCCCCCTCCACTTGCTAAGCCCCACTAAGATTTCTTAATTTTGTATTAGAAAAGTGGGGGGCGTCTTATACCCGGAAAAATACGGTACTTGCTTTCTGTTTGTGGATGATTTACCTATCTCCCTAAGAACTGGATTGTTTCGCTGGGTCACCTGAAGGCATATATAAGCCAACAGCCAGAGGGCTTCAGGGATTCTCACGAGCAAAGCACAAGGGATGTGCTTCTCTCCATTTTTTAAAAAAAGAGATAGACTGCTTTTGAATATGGAGGTCCTATGTTCTACATGTGGAAGCTTTATTTCCCCGTAGCTACTCATTTCACGAACCTGTCTTGTATACCAAGGCTGGACCGTCGTGAGCCGCCTGCAGATGCTCTCCACCGCTTACCGTCTGTGAAACAGTCGCTGGCACCATCCGTGGTTCTGAAAATCTGTGTTGAGTCCATTAAAAAAGAAAAAGAAATTTAGAGAAGTGGCTCTCAAACATTTCCTTCCTCCCCCAATTGGGGGTCCCGTCAGACCACAAAAAAATTTCAGTGGATGTTCAGCCAAAAAATATAATTCATAAATATTGTTTTAAATAGTTCTAGCCAAACCCAGCATCCTAAGAATGTAAGAAGAGCCCAGCTGGATCAGGCCAAGGGCCCATCTCGTCCAGCTTCCTGTAGCTCACTGTGGCCCCACCAGAGACCACAAGATCCCTCTCTCCTGATCCCCCTCCCCAACATCTGGTCTTTGGAGGTCCCTTCCTTTTACGCTTGGAGATTGTACATCCCCGTCATGGTTTGTCACCTGCGATGGATTTTTCCTCCAGGAATCTATCCGATACCCTTTTAAAGGCATCTAGGCCAGATGCCATCACCACATCCTGTGGCAAGGAGTTCCACAGACTTGTTAATGAATACCAGTGCCCTTAAATCAGACTGTTGAAAAGGATCCCCTCTGCCATGCACATTATTTGAGTGAGAGTGAAACAATCCTGCACCAGTAGCAATGTATAAAATCCAAAGGATGTGTTGCTGGCTGTGACAATCCCCTGCTTTTTTAGCTCTCCCACACACAATTATGTATTTATTTACAGTATTTAAAATATTTTTACCCTGCCTTTCTCCTTACAAAGGACCGAAGGCAGCATTCGTAATTAAAAGACAATATTTCCAAACTAAAAACAATTAGATATTTAAAAGAATCAACAAATTCCATACTAAAAATGATAGACCAAATCAAACACCAAAAACAGATCCAAAGCAACCAGGAATGACGACCCATTTAAAAAACCCATCCCAGGCATAAGGGAAAGCTTGTCGGAAGAGAAAGGCTTTTGTCTGCTTGTGAAAGGACAGCAGAGACGGGGCCAGCCTGGTTTCCAGTGGCAGGGAGTTCCACAATCTGGATGCAGCCCCAGAGAAGGCTCTCTCCTGTGTCCCCACCCAGGGCACCTGGTGAAGGTGGTGGGACAGAGAGCAAGGCCTCCCCTGAGGATTTTAGCACTCCTTGAGATCGCTTAGACCCCAGCCATTTAGGGCTCTACAAGTTAAACCATCCCTTTGAATTGTGCTAAGAACCAGATTGGCAGCCGGGGGGGGGGGGGATTAGGTGATCAACCCCAATTCGTAATCCGGCAGCTGCATTTGGGACCCGCTGAAGTTTCCCGACACTTTCCATAGGCTTTTAATCTGTTTAATTATACCATGCCTGGCGACAAATCTCCCTCTCTCTGTCTCTCATTCTCCGTTCTACAAAATAGCCCCAGTCCAGGCCATGAAAAGCAGCCTTGAAAAAGCCGATTCCAGAACCGAATCCAGTCTGGCCGAGGGGACGAGTGAAGGTAGGTTGCGCTTTCCGATCCACCTGCAATCCACCACTTTCTTAATCCGAAGGCGCTTGCTTTTCTGGACCATGCCAGGCCTCTGGAACAGATTCTTCGTGCGAAACGTCCATGATTTGGTTTTAAAATAGTCTAGGATTTAATTTCCTGCCCTGTTGGGCGCACAAAGGGTGCCCTGTGGACTGGGAACTTAGAAGACGGCTCTGTGCTCCAGATTTTTTAGGGGAAGCGAAGGCGAGGAAAGGAAGGGCATCAAATGGTCAGTGGCACCCCCCCCCCCAGGTTGTGTGATTTGGGCCATTTCCTTTCCAGCCGCCCGGTGACCTGATTTGGAAGTCTGTGGGTGCATTTTCTTCTGGAACAAAGTGACTGGGACATCACTACCCATTTTTTAATGCTTAAATGGGTCTCAGGGACCCAAAAATGATGCCGAACTGGGAGGCTTAAGGTCCTAAAACCTACGCTGGAGGTGCTACTATACAACCTTCTGGAAAACACTTAGGGAAGTAGAGAGAGAGAGCCATCCATATCAATATAGTGTGGTAGATAAAAGGAAATCCATGCTTTAAGTATTGCACACAAGTAAGATCATTTCTTGATTATGTGCTGTCAAGTTTCTTCCAATTTATGGCAATCTTGGTATGATTTTCAAGGTACGTGATATATTCAAGGAATGGCCTTACCGTTGCTGCTCCCCAGTGAGTTTCCCTAGACAAAACAGGATTTGAACCCAGATCTCCTAATTTGACATTTTATCCACTGCACCAAATTGGCTCTCAAGTGTGTTACAGTGGTACCTCGCTAAACGAAGACCCCGCTAAACAATGAAACTGCATGATGGTGACTTTTTGCGAACTCTATAGCGATTCGCAAAACAGTCATTCCAATTGGGGGATTTTCACTTAATAATGATGAGGTCCGTGCTTCGCGAACCATTTGTTTACAAGACGACGATTTTTCCGGTTCCGCAAAATGACTGCCCTGTGTTTTCCGGACCCATGCTTTGCAGGGCAGCCATTTTTACAACTGATCGGCGCTTGCAAAATAGCTTCCCTATGGGCAATCTTCGCTGGACGACGAGGTATTTTCCCCATTGGAACGCATTAAACCGGGTTTAAATGCATTCCAATGGGGGAAAGGGTTTTCGCATGACGACGATTTTGCTAAACAGTGATTTTCCCGGGACGGATTATCGTTATGTGGGGCACCACTATAGTTTTATACTAACGGATAATAGAACTTGGCCTGGGTAGCTCAGTGAGTTAGGTCTCTGGCGCTGTAAATTTATACTAACGATAATAGAACTTGGCCTGGATAGCTCAGTGAGTTAGGTCTCTGGCTGCAGAGCCAGAGGTCCGGCGGGTTTGATTCTCTTCTGTGCCTCCCAGAAGAGCCAGCCTGGGTGGCCTTGGGCAAGCTGCACAGCTCCCCGGAAGACGGGAATGGCAAACCACTTCTGAATATTCTCTTCCTGGAAAACTCTGAAAAGTCAGAATCACTTTGACGGCACACAGTTACTATTATAATGGATAAGAGATCTCTTTTATTAAAATATGTTGTTAATTGTTATATATTGTTTATGCACAGATGCCGAGTTTGAATCTGTGGATAATTCCTCACTGCTTGCAGAGGCCAACTTCCTGTCCCCTTCCCTGGAAGGAGCTCCCTCAAGTCTCCTGCCTCCGGGGACCCAGGACCTCACACCAGGCTCCGAGATCCGTCAGACAAGTATCTGCTCCAGTTCCTGAGGATCGGGGCCAAAGAGGCTCCGACCCTTTGCTTTGCACTCCGACCGGCACACGCCCACCACAGGCCTTGCTCTCCCAGGGAAGCATCTCTTCCCAGCTTGTGTTTACATTCCAACTTCTCTTCCCACCCCCTTCCCGGTTGCCCTAAACCACCTCACCCGGAGACACTGTAATGAAAAATAAAAGTTTACCTGCTAACAGTTGTTGGCCAGTGTATTGTGTAGACCTTGCTTTTTTCTCCCTGGAAATTAGGAGTTCGGATGTCCAAAAACTATGCAAACGTATCACCTTCACTAAAATAGGTTGTACAGTGGTGCCTTGCTTAACGACGATAATCCGTTCCAGGAAAATCGCCGTTAAGCAAAAACACTGTAAAGCGAAATAAAAAACCCCACTGAAATGCATTGAAACCCGTTCAGTGCGTTCCAATGGGGTAAAAACTCACAGTCCAGCGAAGATCCTCCATATGGTGGCCATTTTCGCTGCCTGTATAGCGAGGAATCCATCCCTAAACACAGCGGGGAGCCATTTTAATTACCTGGCGGCCATTTTGAATCCGCCGATCAGCTGTTAGAAAAACGTTGTTTTGCAAAGAATCGGCTCCCGAAGCAGGGAACTGATAATCGCAAAGCGAAATTCCCCTATTTAGACCATTTTGCGATCGAAAGAAAAAGATTGTTAAGCGGATTCGTCGTAATGCGGGGCAATCGTAAAGCCAGGCACCACTGTATGTGGGCAACTACTCTGCAGTGAATTAACATCGCTCAGCTGTCCAGGATCTCGGGCATAGAGGAGGGACTTTCTCGTGACATCCTGGTTCACAACACCAGGGATCTGACTTGGGTGCAAAGCCTGATTTCAATCTGTTTTCAAGTTGCGTAACTTCTCCTCCATCTGTTAGTCAGTTGGCACAGGCGGAACCTGAACCTCAGCCAGTGAGAATTTTATTTGGCGGCTGCTTTTTGAAACCTTAGAAGGTGTTGCCCGGTTGTTTTTCCAGCTTATTTTTTTTTAGTGAACCATAAGGACTAGAAGCTTGAGGGTTTTTTATTAAAATGCAAATGGAGCTGATTATCCAAAGGAGAGGAATTCTGCACCCAGTACTGAATGCATTGCGTTGTTTATGCATATGTGTGCCTATCTATGGTCCAACAGTAACTTACGGAGTAATTTTGAGTCATGTAGACTAGAAACTTGCCTTAGAGGTGAATGCAAAGTTGCTCAAGATCCTTCAGCATATCCAGCTCCTGCTAAAAATAGAAATTTGCGTTGTGCCCAGATCTTTCCAGGATGTGGAGGAACGCAGATTAAGCATGATGGGTATAAAAAGACATAGAGTGATCATGAGTGTATAATTTAGCTTTATAATATACATTTTTAAATTCATGCTTCAGCCTGAAGACTATATACTCGGGACTTCTTTGTGGTCAACAGGTACTAAAACCGTCTGAAGCCAACAGCTGCTGGAAAGCTTAGTGGTTCAGGTGTCTGATTGCAAAACCGGAGGTTTGGGAGTTCAATTCCTACCTCTACCTCCTTGGGCAGGGGTGGGACTTGATGATCTATAGGCTCCCTTCTATCTCTGCAGTTCTAAGTTTTTTCATAGTTCCACAGGATTCTCAGGTCTCTTCGCCTTGCCCAATTGCAGAATTCATCCCCGTGGTTGCAGAATTGAGATTGCCTGCATGACAGACCATCCCTGCTCCCTAGATAGAATGTGCTCGGAAAGTAAGCGTAGAAGAGCCCTATTTATAATGTCTGATATTTATAATGCTTTCTCAATTGGCAGATTTTTAAAAAAAAAAACTAAATCCTCAGACAACGGACAGCCCGTACTGATCTGACTTGCTTTTCCGTTTAACTTGAAGAGTCAATGATCCAGTATTTTTCCCTAGCTCTTTCTTTCCTGGAAGGAGGGCAATCTGCATTCCAGAAGGGTCGAGTAACCCCTGTGTCAAATTCTGGCTCGTGGCGATGGTTTGTGACCCTCGGATCCTGCGGCCGCACCCGGTGGACAGGGTGGATCTACTTTCTCGTCCAAAATGTGCACGCCACAGCGTTCTGTAGCTACTGACCATTAGTGTAAGTCCCGTCATATCTGGCAAAAATTAAAGGGGAACAGAAAAAAAAGAGAGAAAGCAAAATATTGTAACAGCTGGAAGACTTCACAGATCTATCTCATCGTGAGCTTTCAGGAATCATTGGAAGCTCACCCTAAATTGTCATTTTCTTTTCTTCCCCCTCCCCACCTTTAATTTTCCCAACGGGCCAAGATAAATCGAACCTCAGCCGCTGCTTCGCTTAAGTTCGGCAATGAGGTCAAGTGTTTTGTCCGGGCCGGCCCTTCTGTTCAGCAGAGCGAGGGTGCTGCCTCAGGCGGCTAATTCTGGGAGGCAGCAATGTCATGTTATAGGAGAGGCCGTGAGCCGCAACAGACTTGGTTGGCTTCAGGTGCCACATAGGATGTTGCCCTCACAGATCATCTTGAAGAAAGAATCGTAGAAAAATCTGATAGTTTTTTTCTCTCCATAGAATGGAAGGAGTTGGCAGGTGTGGGTTTTATTTTTTTAAATCCACCTCCGTCATTTAAGTCGTTTGATCCGGCCTCACCTACTGCTCCTGAACATGGAGGTTCCATTTGAAGCCTAACCGTAGCTAACAGACCACCTTTTTCCTCCATGAAATTGGACTGAAATACTTAAGATAATTAATTCTCAGCCAGAGTGGTTTCATGCTCTCCCTACATCTCCAGTGAGAGAAGTCTGAAGTGCTTCACCAGACTACGAATCCCAGCATTCCAGAGGGTGAAGTGGTTATCAAACCACTATAATTATGTCATAAGGAAACACCTTAGGCCGATGCCTTAAAATGCCTTTTAAACACAGCTTTTTAAAGTAGGGTTTAATCATCACACTTTAGTAACCTAAATATTATTTGTTTACACCTAAAAAGTAACTTTATACATATTCAACATGTTGGCCATTACCAAAGGAACTACAGTGGTGCCTCGCTAGACGATGATAATCCGTTCCACTGAAATTGCTGTTTAGCGAAATCATCGTCTAGCGAAAAGCATTTCCCCATTGGAATGCATTGAAACCCGTTTAATGCGTTCCAATGGGGAAGAATTGTCGTTGTCTAGCGAAGATCGGCCGTAGGAAAGCCACTTTGCGAACCGCCGATCAGCTGTTTAAATTGCTGTCTTGTCAGTAGAGAGCACACAGAAGCGCTTTACCCTTTCCTTCCTCTAGGGGCGCTGTGGGACGGTGCAGCTTGCCCAAGGCCCCCCAGGTTGGCTCTTCTAGATGGCACAGTGGGAATTCGAACTCCCAACCTCTGATTCGCCAGAGACCTAAACAGTTCCTAGCTGCCTAGAACTAGTTATTTCTGATTTATTCCATTGGATTCTCTCCCAGCTTTTTTAAGCCATCTGTTTTCTAACCTAAACGCTAAAACAGCAAAACTGGAAGGAACCTTATGGATTCTTGAGTCCAGCCCCTGGCAAAGGGGCACAACGGAGACTCGAACTCCCAGCAGCCCTAAACCACTGAGCTATCCAGCAGTTTATATAATAATAATTATGGCCCATTGAATCAATCCTAACTGATGGCAACCCTTTCCACAGTTTTCTAAGTAGAGAACACACAGAAGTGCTTTACCCTTTCCTTCCTCTAGGGGCGCTGTGGGACGGTGCAGCTTGCCCAAGGCCCCCCAGGTTGGCTCTTCTAGATGGCACAGTGGGGATTCGAACTCCCAACCTCTGACTCGCCAGAGACCTAAACAGTTCCTTAGCTGCCTAGAACTAGTTATTTCTGATTTATTCCATTGGATTCTCTCCCAGCTTTTTTAAGCCATCTGTTTTCTAACCTAAACGGCCGGAGATGTTTTCGCGATGCCTCATAAATGCCTCTTGTTTCTTGCTGTCTGCCAGACATTTTTCAAGCAAATATAACCCCCTCCCCTTTCCACGTACATGCCTTTGCCAGCTCAAGCCTCAAATATCAGGTTCTAAAGAAAAAGCATGCCAGGGCGTGGAGCTGCTCTTCATTCTTGAATGACGAATTGGAATTCACCTCCGGCACCGAAGATTCGGGGGGAAAACGGTGTCCTTGTAGTACAGAATTTTGCAGCCGGCATCTGTGCAGTTTTTTATTCTTCCAAACCTTCCAGGCTTAATCATTCTAGATGTTTCAGGATTATTTCATCTTTCCCCCCCTTTTCTTTCCCTTGCTTTGCTAGAAATGGCCTTCTCAGCCCTGCTGAGTCAGAACCCAGTGATCGTGACTCAGCACAAATTTAGAGAAATGCTGATTTTTTTTTTAAACGAGAAAAATGTTTCCCTGGAACCATTATGTCCCATTTCCTTCCTTCTGAAATTAGTTAACGCTCCCCGACCACAGAGTCAATTCTCTTCGGTCTGCCCTTCATAACTTGGGCAACCTTTATTAATTAAGTTTGCCTTAATTAAGCATTGTTTCTCCCCAACCCACCCACCCACCGGAGATCTTGTTGAAGATCTGGGTCAGCCGGGAATACTAATTTAAAATGTGGGACATTAAATATTCTTTGAATTTGGAACAAAAATAAAAAATCACCATGCTATATGAGAAGCTATGAGTCCTGCTATATGATAAGGAAACACCGTTTCTGAAGAGCATAAAGGGGAAACGATCAGGTAACAGCCGGAAATATACTTAAGAAAATGTATGAATTCAAATATCGTAATTGTCTGGAAGCCTTCTATTTCAATTTTTCTTGAACATACTGACTATTAAGATACTCTGTTATGTGTGCATTGGTGGCTAGTATAGGACTGTATTTTCTTTTGCTTTTATACACTCTGATCTAGGTTAGGCCTCTCTGAGCATGTCCAAAGTGCATTTTTCTCCCTATCTCTTTGGAACAACACTTTCCTAGAAATACGAAGACGCAGAAAATAAAGTTTTGCTTCTTGTGTCGTAGGTTTGCCTTTTCTCCGGCGGACCACAAGGCCAGCCAAGGATCATAATAAAATTCTGGTCCCTTTTGCCAAGGTCCTCGGGCGAAAACAACTGCTAAAAGGTTTGACCTTGTTTTTGGAGAAAAATAATTATCTCCTTGCAAAAGCCGGGAAGCATCTCTGTGTTTGTCCCTCTTGATTGCAGAGGGCTTGCAAAATTATTGGCTAGGTTGTTGAAAGGTTTGTATAGAAGAAGGATCTTGTGATCTCATGCAGGATTACGTGCTTCAAGGACAACGCTGTCCAGTTAGTTGACTTGCGACACGGAGTGACTGATACGGCATTGCTGACAATGGAGAAACTGAAATCGTTTGAGGTTTTGTATACCTTGGTTCAGTCGCCCATCGAAACAGAGACAGCAGCCAAGAAATCAGAGGATCGAGACTCAGAAGAGCAGCAATGAATGAGCTAGTAAAAGATCATCTCCTGTAAGGATGTGTCCCTAGAGAATAAGATCATCCTCATGCTTGTATTTCCACTGACTGTGTATCAGTTTGGAAGCTGGTCAGGAAAGAAAGCTGGCTGGAGGTGGGATGGGGGGAATGGATTAATTTGAAATGTGATTGAAGGCAGCGGGAAAAGAGGAAGACCCAATACAAGATGGACTGACTCACTAAAGGAAACCACGGCCTTGAGTTTGCAAGAGCTGAGTCAGTCAGTTGAGAACAGGGCATTCGTGGCTCATTCATGGGGTTGCCATACGTTGGGGGCAACTTGAAAGCACACAATGACAATTAGGTCAGCTTTGCAAGGTTGAGAGTGTCAGCGTCTGATGCTTTGGGCGAGCTACCGTTTGCCACTAGCAATAATGTAGTTTTATGTTTGGAGACTCAGATACCCGTAATTATACCTCCCATTAGCCCTATTATCCAGTAAGAGGAACCCACACTCTTCTGGGATCAGTGCATAGGAAACACTGAGGAACAGGTGTTTTGTATACAAAATGGCTCTTAATTTCCCATTCAAGACCAAAACATTTTCAAATATTTTACAACATGGAGGACTTGTAATAGTGACAGATTTTACTTTCTTGGGCTCCATGATCATTGCAGATGGTAACAGCAGCCACGAAATTAAAAGACACCTGCTTCTTGGGAGGAAAGCAATGGCAAACCTTGACAGCATCTTAAAAAGCAGAGACATCACATTGCCAACAAAAGTACGCATAGTCTAAGCTATGTTTTTTTTTCACTAGTGATGTATGGAAGCGAGAGTTGGATCATAAAGCAGGCTGAGCGCCGAAGAATTGATGCTTTTGAATTGTGGTGCTGGAGGAGGCTCTTGAGAGTCCCCTGGATTGCAAGGAGATCAAACCTATCAGTTCGGAAGGAAATCACCCCTGAGTTCACACTGGAATGGACAGATCGTGAAGCTGAGGCTCCAATACTGTGGCCATCTCATGAGATGAGAAGACTCCCTGGAAAAGACCCTGATGCTGGGAAAGTGTGAAGGCAAGAGGAGAAGGGGACGACAGAGGATGAGATGGTTGGACAGGGTCATTGAAGCGACCAACATGAATCTGACCCAACTCTGGGAGGCAGTGGAAGACAGGAGGGCCTGGCGTGTTCCAGTCCATGGGGTCACGAAGAGAATACATCTGAAAATGCAGTCTTAAAAAGTAACTTTTTCAAGCTCTCTGTCCACTACTATCCTTCTGGGGAGGCTTTGTGCCTTCCCGGCCTCCGTTCTGGGGCTGTTAAAATGGGAAAGAACTGCCTCTGGTGGGAAATAAAGGAGGGTGGACTGACAGTCTGTCCTATGTTTAAAAATTAAATAAAGGACTGCGTCGGTTTTCCTGGCCCCACTCTGGCTGGGAAGCTAGCCCTGAAGAATATCTGTCCGGTGAGTGCTCAGAGACCTGCAGGATGAATTCGTAGCGTCATCCCCGGGCTGGGTCTGACCTGGGTGTTTTTTTGCAGGAAAACATTGTCTGCCTGCCTGTCTGTCTGTCTGGCTCATCCTCAACCCTGTGTCTCATCCAGGAATAATATATATATATTTGGATCAGCTGCTCCACACCCGTTTTCTGCTTTTTCCTCCACCCGGTTCTAATCCCTCTCTCTCTCTCTCTCTCAAACACACGCTCTTTCATGCCAAAGAGGAGAGGAACAGCCCTTATAAGGGACGGCTTGTTTTCTTAGCCAACACCTGCAAAGTGTGGGGGCCGAGAAATTGGCTCCTTCCCGCTAACTCCAAAGGGGAGGTGCGAGAAAAGTTGGTGGAGATGAGATCATCTTTGGGAGCAGGATATAAAAGTGTTCCCGGGGTCGGCTCCTGAGCAGTCCAGAGAGCTGAAATCTGCCTTTCCTCCTCGCCGCTTGCAAAACCCAACGGTTCCTTGGCTAGTGGCCACTGCAGCTGGGCCACTGAACCCTCCTGCCTTCATCTTGGACTTTATTATTCCTGACGACACCCGATTTCTTCCGAAAACCGGCTCTTCCCCCTCGATTTTTAAGCAGCGGCCGCGTTTTGGATACCAGCTTGTCCTCCAGAAGATTCACCGCCCAATTGGCTCTTTTTTCCTGATCATCTGGACAGTGACCTTCCTCCACCCTTCCCTGCCAGGTGAGTGACGATAAAACAGGGTCGGCCCTACCGTTGGGGAAAGAGAGGCAACGGCCTCAGGCGGCAGAGATTGGGAGGCGGCGGTGGCAAGAGCAGCACTTTCCCCCCCTCCACCTGCTTTTCTGGCTTCCCCTCCTCTGAGAAGATGGCACTAAATTCAATCTTAGAACTGCTGGATAGGCTCAGGGAGTTAGATCTCTGGGTTGGGAGTTCGAATTCCTCACTGTGACTCCTTGATGGGCTGGACTGGATGATCTACAGGGTCCCTTCCAGCTCTGCAATTCTAAGAATGCTTGTCTTGTCTTAAATTAAATTAAAAATGGACCTCCTGTTGTCAGGGGATTTTGGAGCAGTTTGTCCCGTAACAAATTCCAAGAGGCAGCCCAGTACAGAGTCGCAGGTCGAAGGCTGGAACAGGACGGGGGAAAATCCCGGTTCTAACGCCCAATAAACAGCAACATTCACTAGGAGACCTTGTCTAGCCGTTCTCTTTTAGCTTGTCCTACCTCACTGGGGTGTTGTTAAGTTGCGAAGGGTTCCCCTTAAAAATAGTAGGTCCGCCACTGCCTGAATTCGCACTGGGTCAAGGTTTGGTTGGCAAACCTGATTTAAAATGAAACAAACAAACAAAAAATTACTTCTGCCACCGATTTGCTCAAATCCCAGCCATGTCTTGTGACAAAAGATAGTTAGATTTAATAGCTAAAGAATTCCAGACCTTTCCTCCAGTTTTTCAGGTTAAGTTATTTTAAACTTTGGACCTAATGGTCTTTTGAAGGAGGGCCCCTCCGTGGTATTTGACATTCTTCACAAGATAGTAAACAGATCGGCTAAAAAAAAGAGCAGAGGACAAAGTAGAGGATTGTAAAGCAAGCCATGTTCTCATCTGGTTTCTCCTTCACATCCCCCCTGCTCATCTTATCTCTCTCTGAGGCAGCTAATTATCCCCAAGGGGTTTTGAAGGGAAATTATAAATTAGCAGTTGAATTAGAGATATGAGGCACAAGACCCAGGAGAGCAGAACTGGGGGACGGGGGGGGGAGATATCTTACACCGATGCTGTTCTCCAGAATCCCACCAACATACAATTGTTACTGGCTATTCCAGTTGGGTGGTTTGGGGGGGTGGTGTTTCCAAGACATTAGTAAAAAAAAATATGTGGTGCTCATACACCACCCCATAGCACTTAAAAGCACTCTCTAGGCAGTTTACAGTTTAATGATGCAGGCTCCAAATTGCACACATCCAGCAGCGAGCTGGGTACTCATTTTACTGACCTTGGAAGGATGGAAGGCTGAGCGAACCTCAAGCTGGCTACCTGGGATTCAACCTGAGCAGAGTTTTGGAGCAGTAGTAGGAGAAAGAATTTAAAAAAAAATCATTTACTTACAGTTGGACAGACCCAACAGCAAACTGATGTGCGTGACTGATTTCAAAAACAACAGACTCTAGAGAGGGAGGGAAAGGCACTGAGCAGAGAGGCGGGACTGTATTCCAATTCAGAGGCAGGAGGGCACGGTGCTGGAGGGAAAGACACTGAGCAGGCGGGACTGTATTCTAATTCAGAGGCAGGAGGGCACGGTGCTGGATAGATTTGACAGTCACTCCAGTCCAGAAAGATCCCTCTCAATCACACCTTCTCCAGACAGCCTGGGAGGTCACAAAAACTCCAATAGCCGGAGTTCTTTCCCTCTCACCTCCTAACATCTGATGGTTTGGGAACTAGAGATGCTGCAGAATGGACCTAAACCTTTGTGCTTTCGAGCTGCGCGTTTTAGCACGGCGCTATGATCGCTTTCCGGATGAATTTCCCATAACCCGGTTAGAACTGGCCATTCTGGCTCGGAGCTGGCCACCCAGGCACAGAGAGCCACAGCTGTATCTTGGAATGCATGCAAAACGTCCTGAAATACTTGAACAAACTTATATTTGTGCATCGTTGCCTTCTTTCTGTATATCTTTCTCCCTCTCCTTTTTTGTATCATCTCCCCCCAGTTATCTGCTGTAAACTGGATGTTCCTAGGGAGCAGAGACCATCTCTCTGTTGCCATAAAGACCAGGGTGGGGAAATCCTTAGTCCTATCAGATGTGATGAACTCATGTAATACTTTTATCTGCTATTTCTTAAACAGGAACCATGGACATCCTGGCTCCGTTTCTGGTGGGGGCCTGGATCCTGACCTTCTGCCCCCGGGGGTCTGCCACGAGCATGGGGCACCCTTTGCCTGCCCCCCTCCAGGAAAAGCCCCTCTTCTCTCCTCCTGCAGGGAGCAACCTGCCAGCGGTGGGCGAAGAAGGGACTTCTCCGCCCACCCACCTCCGGATGCCTCACAACTACGCAGAGGACGACTATTACTACGACATCGAAGAAGACCTTTTGACCCCGGAGCCCCCCACGCCGGGCGTTCCTCAGCCTCTGCCTCCCCGTTGTGACTATAACCACTGCCAGCATCTCCAAGTGCCTTGTGCGGAGCTGAGCCGAGCCGAGGGCTGTTTGTGCCCGGGCATTTCGGGCCCCGATGTTGCCCCCGAGGCACCCCGCTTGCAAATCATCCACACAACCGAAGCCGGAGCCAGTGTGCGCTGGTGTGCCCCCTCGTCCACCGTGCTGGAGTATCGGCTGCACTACCGTCCGGTGGACGGGACCTTCATCTCCGGCCCGGCCATGAACAGCACCTCCCGCTTAGCAGTGGTTTCGGGGTTGTCGCCCGGCCAGGAATACCTGTTCTGTGTCGTCGCCTCCAACCGGGCTGGATCTAGCCCGACCGACGATGGCATCAGCGAACACGGGCCGTGCCGTCTCGCCCGCACCCCGGCCCGACAGATGCCGTACGTCTACGTGGCCGCCGGGCTGGCCTCCGTCCTCGGCTTGCTGGTGGTTTCCGTCTTGGCCTGGCATTTTTGGTACCGCAAGAAGAAGCACCTTCGCCGTGGGTCGCTCGATAACATCCTGGATGGCGAATCGGGGCTGGAGGGGACGGCCAACGCGTCTTTCCGGACTGAGGAGCAGCTATGAGAGAGTCCACCCAAGAGATATTTTCTGCGAGGTCCCCCCCTAAGTTTTCTCCTGAAGCGGCTTGGATGCTCCAGAAAACCCAAGGTTGACTTGGCCAGCGGAGCTTCTTAGACCTTTCATAAGGATGGTACCTATTTTGTTTGTGAGTGATGAGTCGAGGACACTCTACCTCTTTTATGGAAGTTTACTTGGGGTTTTTCGAAAACCCAAAACCTCTGGGTCTGGTGTGAGGAGAAGGGACAACAGGTTCTGCTATCAGCACTGGAGAACTGGGATACAGTGGTGCCTCGCTAGATGACGACAATCCGTTCCACTGAAATAGCTGTCTAGCGAAATCATTGTCTAGCGAAAAGCAAATAATCGTCTAGCGAAAATCGGTTTGCAAAGCAGGGACCAAACATTGTCCAGGGAAATTCCCCCATAGGAATCACTGTTTTGCGAATCACTATAGGGATCGCAAAAAGTCAATGTCTAGCGAAAAAACTGTCATGCGGGGTAACTGTCTAGTGAGGCACCACTGGACAACCCTATGATCTTGGCTGTTCAAGAGAAAGAGGTGTGCGGGTGGATGTGGCCGTCAAGTCCATTCTGACTTATCACAACTTTTTTCAGGGTTTTCCCGGCAGAGAATACCGTACTCAGAAGTTGTTTACGTTTCCTTTCTCCTGGGACACCTGGCCCAAGGCTACCCAGGCTGGTTCTTCGTTTTACGTTTCCTTTCTCCTGGGACACCCTCGGACTGCGCAGCTTGCCCAAGCCTACCCAGGCTGGTTCTTCTCTCTGGAGGCCCAGTGGGGGGAATCGAACCCGCAACCTCTGCCAGGTGCCTAAACCACGGAGCTATCGAGCCAGCACAAAAGGGCGGACTCTTCCACCAGCATTTTGAAAAGGTTCACCCCAGCCCTTCCCTGGGGAGAAGAACGTAACAGACTTGACTACCTGGACGAAATCCCCCCGTCCAATCAATGCAGGGGGACTTCAACCAGCTCTAGAAAACTTTTTGATGTATTATGGTTGTTATTTGTGTGCATATATATGTGTGTGAGAGAGTGGATTGCTTTATAGACTTTTTGTTATGGGGGAGGCAGTAGTTTTTTTTTAAGAGTGTCTGCTCTTATTAAGAAGATGTGGATGTTGTGTGTTTTATGTTTATTTATATATTTATTGTTATTAGAAACTTCAATCATAACAATCCAGAGGAATTAAAGAGGCAGGACTTTTGGAAGGAACCCGTCTCTTGTGGAAGGGCCGGCCTTACCATGGGGCAGATTGAGGAAGTGGCCTCAGGCGGCAGATGCAGGGGGGGTCAGCCATGGAACCCCACCCGATAAAAATTCCTTCTGGGTCTTACGGCTCTCTTAAACAAGCCGGGCAGGGACCTACCCCATTCCTAAGGTTGGTCGAAATTGGAATTACCGGTCCAGTCAGTCGTGGGATCAGAGTGGGGTTGTAGTGTGGGTTCGGCCTCAGGCGGCGACAGGCCTTAGGCCACAAGGAAATCAAAGAGACTTGTGTCACCCAAAAGCTAAAGCATTTATGGATGTCGGATGCATTAAAATATTGTGCTGTGTTTTCGTGCTTTTCTGTGCTAGTTCCAGCTCTGCAATTCTCTAACTGTGAAGATGTGATTCTATGAAAATGCCAGGTTATCTGTTCTCTACCCCTGCTCCCTAGGATATTTCACATAGGCGACCGATTGTTCTCCTTCTGATACGCCTGTGACAGGCACAGTAGACACTGCGATTTATTTAAAAGCCAGTCGGTCCTGGTCAGAAACAGTGGCCCTGACAGCAAAGTGGGCCATGCAATGGAAAAGAGTGCCCCTGAGCATGTCAAGATGGCCAGGGGAAAGAAAGAACCCCAGAATCTAGGGCTCCAACTCAGCGGCACCCCCATCGCCTGAGGTTTTAAGGTACAAAGTTTGCGATCTCGAGAGTGGGCCCCCAAATGTCAATCTCTTTGGCACTGTCCAAATCCCCTGGACCACAACTCCCATCGTCCCCATCCAGCTCCGTCCTTGCTCACTGGGGAGGAGAGCAGCCGCAGACAGACTTTTTTTCTCTCTCCCCGCTCTTTGCTTACTTTTGAAACAGTGTCTCTGATGAAAAGATCTGTGACCTCAAAAGCTTGCACAATGTTCTGGCACCTTCTTGGCTGGTTTAATGAAGGAATTATCTCGATTCTGTAGCTCATTGTGTTTCGAGGGTGCCGGGTTAAGGACGGCAGCTGAGTCCCAAATCTTGAAGCATAATTGTAACAAGATATGAAGCAGGGATCATAATTGGGGGTGGGGGTGGGGGTGAAAAACCCACCTTCACCTGAACCCAGAGTGGGCTGTCCCATCATTGTGTATTAATGCTAACTGATTGTCATCAAAGACATTGGAGTGGAATAAAAAAAAACCCACCATCACCTGAACTCAGAGCCTGCTGTCCCATAATTGTGTATTAATACTAACTGATTGTCATCAAAGACATTGGAGTGGAATAAAACGTGCTATACAGAGGTGTTGCTCAATTCCTGTAATCACGAGGATATATTTATTTTCAGTTCTCAACGAGTCTTTGGAGTTACGGGAAAATGCGGATTTATTCTCCGTCTCCTGCCTGTCACCCATTTGGGTGGGTTGGGTTTTTACAAGCGCCTGTTCTTGGCAGCGTCTCTGATGAAAAGATCTGTGACCTCAAAAGCTTGCACAATGTTCTGGCACCTTCTTGGCTGGTTTAATGAAGGAATTATCTCGATTCTGTAGCTCATTGTGTTTCGAGGGTGCCGGGTTAAGGACGGCAGCTGAGTCCCAAATCTTGAAGCATAATTGTAACAAGATATGAAGCAGGGATCATAATTGGGGGTGGGGGTGAAAAACCCACCATCACCTGAACTCAGAGCCTGCTGTCCCATAATTGTGTATTAATACTAACTGATTGTCATCAAAGACATTGGAGTGGAATAAAACCTCTAAAACTCCTATAAAGAGGTGTGGCTCAATTCTTGTAATTACGAGGACATATTTATTTTCACTTCTCAACGAGTCTTTGGAGTTACGGGAAAATGCGGATTTATTCTCCGTCTCCTGCCTGTCACCCGTTTGGGTGGGTTGGGTTTTTACAAGCGCCTGTTCTTGGCGGGGGTAACAAGTGAATGATCTGCGTCTTGGAAAACCCAATGTTTTCCAGATGTGAGGGTTGCTTGGGGAACAGCTGGGAACATGTGCAATGGAAATGCCTCGCCAGGACAAAATGTACCCATAAGCTTCAGGGAACGTGGAGGTGGGTCTTTGTTTTTTTACATATTTATCCCCGACTCTCTCATGGATGCTGGCTGTGTATCTCAAAAGCAGATGTGGGAATTTGATTTCCCAGCATGTCTCGTTGTCTCTTACATACTGGATCAGACATCTTAAGCAATGTAATACTTGGGAATGTTAACTCCACATCCTTTCCCCACAGGGCCAAAAGACCAAGCCCGGCAATTTCACAGCAGGGGTGTGTTGCAAAACTCATCTTCAAAGTTGGCAGGCCTACAAAACCAATATGCGGACAGAGCTTGTTGCTTTCCTCCCGGTGGCCAACCACCAAATAAAAGCAAGCTGATCTGACACTTCTTAAACTAGGAAAATCATCCAAGGATAATCCGGCATGCTTTAGTGCTTAAGCCAGCTCTGCTCCTAATTGCAAAGCTGCCATTTCTCTGTTTTGGCGTTCAGGGACAACAATCTTATGAAGTTGTCCAGCATTAACACGACATTGCAGACTGCGGGAGATAAAACTGGGCCTGACCAAGTAGTCATTGGGAATGAGCCTGATTGAATTCAGGGAGGCTTGCTTCTGCGTAGACTTGCACAGCAACACAATCTAAGGAAGCCAGAGCTGAAAACATCTCTCCTGGCTGAAAACACATTTACAGTGGTGCCTTGCTCAACAGTTACCCCGCATGACAGTTTTTTTTGATAGACATTGGCTTTTTGCGATCGCTATAGCGATTAGCAAAATAGTGATGCCTACGGGGGAATTTCGCTGGACAATGTTTGGTCCCTGCTTCACAAACCGATTTTTGCTAGGTGATGATTTTGACAGCTCCCTCCGTGCTCGCAAACAGGCGTTTTCGGGACCTAAGCTTCGCAAGACAGCGATTTAAACAGCTGATTGGCGGTTTGCAAAGCGGCTTTCCTATGGCCGATCTTTGCTAGACAACGGCGATTCTTCCCCATTGGAACGCATCAAACAGGTTTCAATGCATTCCAATGGGAAAATGCTTTTCACTAGAGAATGATTTCGCTAAACAGCGATTTCAGTGGAACGGATTATCATCGTCTAGCAAGGCACCACTGTATATGTTTTAAAAGCTGATCCTTATTATTACTACTTTGAGATCTTTGCTCTCTATAGCGGGCAAGAATTACTGTCACCTGTCAGTTTTATTTACTTTTTGATTTAATTTGCAATGCTTTTTCAAACATAAACAAAAATGTTTTTTTTAAAAAATTGGCCATATTTTATTGCATTCTAATGCCAATTGCAAGGTCTATTTCACAGCAACGTGGGCCGAGTTCAACCTTGTGGGAGATAATTCTGTTTTTTCCCCAGAACCCCAAGACTACCAAACCCACCAAGGGGTGAAACAGGCAGACATAAACAAGGGTCAACCGATCGCCGTGCCTCGGAGCATACATTGAGTTCAGGAATCAGCAACTAGTCCAGGAATGACATTCAAAAAGCAGTTCATGCAAAAACCCATTCTTGTTTTTCCTCCCTGACATTGGGATGTGGCTGGGTGACACAAACATCTGCAATGCCCTCCGTGGCCTAAGCGCAGAGGATGATGATGACACGGAGAAGGAGGCAGCACGTACGTGGAGGTGCGCTTACGTAATCCCTCCTCCCAGCAGGGCAATGATGTCGACAGGATATCGTTGGCAATAAAGTATGTGCAAACTTTTCCTCCCAGACTCATCCGTCATGCTGAGGCCCGGGCACACTCATGACAAGTCACAGCTGGCTCACAGCTGCATGCACGGCGATGCATTTTTCTCTGCACCCGTTAATATTCGTTCACTGCAACCAAAAACAACAGCCCTTCCTTCCCAGGCCGGCTCCACCATTGGGCAGGACGGGGCAACCACCTTCGCGGCCGATGCTGGGCGGCAGCTGTGCATTTCAACCCTCTCTGCAATGCTCATTGCCTCTTCTCTTTGGGCATTGGGTTTGGACTGGGAATTACAAGGCTGATCTGCAGCCATAAAGACTTAGCCGATCCGTCTTCAACTATGTTTACTCTAGCCTCAAAGAAGCATGACCACATTGTTTGTTTATGGTGAGACTTTTCCCAGGTT